ACTTATACATATATTATCTCATTTGAATTTTATACCGTGAAGTACTACACTAATATAGACTTAAGTATTCAGTTTTTCATAGTGCAGGATAATTAAAAAAATAACCTCAATATTTATATCTTGGAGATGTAATGAATATTATAGTCTTCTAATTTTTAGAAGATGTCTTTATTGTAATTTTAATTGCTCTTTTTAAAGTCTATTTCTAGATAAATCCATTCTCCTAAATAATATAATTAAGGTCACTATCTTAAACTAAAAGCAAATCCTGTAGACACTTAAGCTGTACCCCAACTGATTTGTCTTTCATTTAGCTACAAATAGGAAAAAGCCCTCCAGCAACATCTCCATTTTTTTCCTCCTAGTTCTTTCCAATTTGAACTCATTACAAACAATCCTCATAAAATGACGTCTGCTAGAACCATACTCACTGGTGGTAGAAGATGGGCGTTACTGATGTGAGCTCGGAACCCAGTATAAAGTCTTACATGCGGATGCTCAGTATTACATGTTAAATGGCTGACTGGCAGACAACTCTTTTTTATACTACATTTGAATAAAGGTATTTGTTCTTGTCTCTTCACCGTGGGTTTATTTTACCTGGTGAAACTGTAGTGATAGTGCATATTTATTGAGGATTTGCTATGTGCCAGTACTGTTTTAAGTGCTACCCAAGTGTAACCGTTTTAGTCCCCACAACAGTTCTCTGAGGTGGATCCTGCAGTCATCATGCCCATGAAACCCAGCATAACCCAAGAACAGAGTGGTCACTCAAGGCCACACAGCTGTGAGGAATACCTGGGATCTGTCTGTCTGAACCACTGTCCGTACTGTCTGAAGTGTGCTGGCATACACCGTTTACCAGCCACCAAATCTTCCGCCCTCCCCCAAATAGCCTACCTTTTGTGCAGAGGACATCATCTCCTAACAGTCACATGTTAAACCCGAATGGGGGATTGTGGTAGATAGACTAGGACTTTGCAGGAACTAGCTGTTTTTCCTGCCCTTGCTAAGAAGCAGAAGGAATGGTACAGTGACCTCCTGCTTCCTTTTCTCTCCTCTCACAGCTGAAGGCACTGGAGACGGGCAGAGCCCAAGGTTTTCGTTTGCATATGCATGTTTCCAAGCCTTGTGCCTAGACAATTGCAAGATTGTCATGTGTCCAGAGGCTCCCTTGCCAAGGGGCCAGGACAGATTCCAGTACATACTCAACTGCAAAGAGCAGACCATCATTCTCAGTTTTGTGACTGAAGTTTCAAATGTCCATGACGTGGCTCTAGAGCTGTGGCTTTAGTGAGCTTTGCTAACATGTCACTGTTTGCAAAGCTGAAACTGAAGCTTGTTATTGCGAAATTGAAATTGTTGTAGTGAGCCTGTAACACAGCTACAATGTTGGATGTAGCAAGTGGTATCCGTGTAAATGCTCTCTTGCTGTAGGATGCCATTTACCATATCAGGGCTGCCTTGCAAAGCAACAAACCACAGCTTCGCCGGTCACGTTTTATCCAGCCCATGTCTCCTTTTCCTCTTTATTATGTTCTAGGTGGCTTAGATTCCCCTGTATGCAGCTTAAACCCTGAAAATGCAAAAGGCTTCTGCAGTTAAGAGCTCTCAGGACCATGTAATGCTGACCTATTATGGAGACACAGTTCAGTGTTCTAATCTGGTTTCCATCTGAAATAAAGCCAAAAGTCAGTCTCTTTTCAACCTCTGGCAGTTTTTGCCCTTGCTGAGTGATTGGGAAACCTGAAAACAATTCACTGAATGTTAAGAGAGGATTAAGTTACAACATTCATGCTTGTACCTACTGGAAGTTATCCTGCCTTATATAACATTTTGGATAAAACTATATTGTAAAATTTTATAAGAAAGAGAAAGAATTTAAGGTGGTAAAAAAGGAAAGAAACTAGTGGCTCGAAGGAGGGGGCAAGTAAATAAATTCTTTGAATACTGGCAGCTTGTGAGGACATGTGTAGGTATATTTTACTTTGTTTAAATTCATTGATACTAGTTTTTTAAAACATTTTTATGGATTTAAAACATTTTCAAGATTGGTTTATTTTTTCAAGTTGTTATTCAATCACTTGAATCAGATTTGATTCTAATTTCTGCCTGGCATGGTTGAGAACTGTTACTTTTCTGTATGCAATATCAGTCTCAAACACGCCTGATCACAGGGATCACCTGGGACTATGTAAATCTATAAAAGTACACATTTCTAAGCCTAGACCCCAGAGGTACTATTCATGTTTGGGGTTCAGAATTCTGCATTTTTTCTTTCAAGTTTTTATTTTGAAAATAAAAATATTCAAATCTGTATCTTCACCTAGATTCAGCAATTGTTAAAATTTGCCTCTTTGCCATTTGCCACTGTAGATAGTTAAATAGATGATGGATGGATGGATGGATGGATGGATGGATGGATGGATGGATAATTCAGCCCCTTTTCGCTAAGGCACTTAATAATCTGTTCTAATTAGTTTCCTTCATGGTTCCTTCACAGTTTGCAGTCCCCAGGGTTAATGTAGAAAGGAACAGTAGATGTTTAGTTAGAAGGTTACACTCAACATATAACCGTAAAATGATTCTTTTTTATTGTGAAACAATTTCATACATATAAATATGCATATTTAAATATATATGTACCCTTTAAAGACTAATAACAACCTATCACCCTTGTTCCCACCTCCCTGTTAGAACTAGAACCTTAGCAGGAACTTCAGGCCCCTGTGGGCCACTGCTAAACACTTGCCCCACATCCCTTCACCTTCACATGCGACCATTTTCCTGAATTTTATGTTATTAATTCCCTAACTTTTCTTTGAAGTTTTCCCATATATATAAGAAAAAAAGTGTTTTTGTCTCATTTTCCTCCTTTTGAACATTTTTAAGTGATATATGTGTTCTCTGGTGACTTGCTTTTATTTTTCTGCTCAGTGTTGTAATTTTGAGATTCATCTCTGTTGATGTGTGTGGCTGTAGTTTGTTTTCACTACAGTATACCATTGCATCATGTGAATGTACTAGAATTTATTTATCTAGTGTACCACTGATGGACATTAGGAATGTTTTCAGTTTCTTTTAATATGAATTGCAGCGTGTCGAGAACATTCTTGTATATATCCTCTGCATACGTGTGCAAGAGTCACTTGAGGGTAAATTCCTAGGAGTGTCCAGAATTTAAGGTTCTAGAAGTATGTGGTCGTTCTCCTAAACACCAGAGATTACCATCATTGAGAGAATAGCACCAATTCCTTGACCTCCTTTGGTTGGCCTGCAATTGGGTCTTGCTTTTTGGTGTGCCCCAGAATATTTTTTTAACCTTTAAGACACATAGGGGACTATTCAACTAACTCCAGCTCCAGACGTGAGTGGAAATGGTCCAAGACTGCTGGAATTCTGACCCATGCTTGGCAAGACAGTCATTTGAGCTGGGAATCTATGTACTGGCTTGTGCCATGGTGGTGTTCATTGAGTCAACTCACAATCCAGAGTGACGGCTCACTCCTATGGTGTTCTGATGCTTCTTTGACATATCTACTCAAAGTTGGTGACCTCCCATGCTACATGAACAGCACAAATGACCACATTCTGTACTCTGATAAACAGAATGACTCATTGGAAATAAAATGGACTTTGGATTTAGAAGTACTTGACTTTAGCAGAGCTGACTATTTACGTATTCGATGTTGTTATAATTAGAGATAGTATATGAAAGTGCTCCGCCCTTTGCCTGAGATTTGATAAGGATTCAGTAAATTAAACCTTTGTCGATGCTGTTCTCCTTGTTATTTATCATCACCCAGAACTCAGAAATCCTAAAATTCCTTTCTCTGGTAATAACTTCTTTTTTTCTCAGTCTTGACTGAATCCATGAAATCTCTCCCCTACCCCTTGTTTCAAATCTCCTCTCAACTTCTAGTTTACTTCCCTGAGTTATTCTCCTAATGTTCACATGTACATACATATACATATTTTTTATTCAAATGTTTGTGTCTTCTTTTGGCCTCTCCTTAAACATAACATGTCCCAGTTTGAACTTTTGATTCCTGACCTCCCCAGGCCCACCATTTTCCTCTCTACTTCAGTTGATAACATCCCATCAACCTAGTTTTCCTGGCCTAAAAATTGAGACTCAGCCTTGACTCCTCTCTTCTCCTTAGTCCATCAGCAACTCCTGTAGGTTCTGCTTCCAAACTGTGTCGCACATCTGACCACACATAACCCTCTGTAGCGTCACTTCCCCAGTCTAAGCTCACATCAGCTCTCACCTGGATTACCGCTGCCATCCCTCTCTCACTGCCCCTTACTTCCATTCTTGCCCCCTCAAGATAAAATATAAATCAGATCTCATCATTCCACTGGTTAAAATCCTCCAAAAACTCCCAACTGCAGCTACAACAAATTCCAAACATTTCACCACGGTCCTCAGATGTGATCAGACCTCTGTCTACATCTCTTACCTCGGTTCTCTTCGTTCACTGTGTCTCAGTCACACCTGACCTCTTTCTCTCCCTTGAATATTCCAAGCTCAGTGTCGCCTCAGGTCCTTTGCACTTACTTCCTGTCTTTCTGGAACTCGCTTCCCACATTTTTAGTGTAATGCCTCCTTTCATAGTTCAAATAGCTCAAAAGTCACCTCCTGAGAGAAGCTTTCTCTGACCCTCCTGAACTTCTCATCCATGTTTTTCTTAAACTTTTTGCTTTGTTTTCTTCATAACCATACTGTCTAAATTTAAACATATATTTGTTGACATGTTTTTTAATCTCACTCCGCTAGAAGGTAAGTTCTGGCAGTGTCCATCTGCTTACTGCTCTGTTTTCAACATTTGTGATAGTGCCTGGTGCATAATGGGCACTTGGTAAATATTTGTTGAATTAGTGAAGGTATGAGTGAAAGGTAACTAGAGGCTAAAAATACTACAAAACTTCATATGTATCACTAAGTAAAGTAGTAACTATATGTATTTTCTAAGGTATTAAAGTGTTTTCTTTTTCAGGACTAATTGGAATTCTTCAAAATGTCAGGTAAGTTTTTGTGAATAAATTTTTATATGCTTTATTTTCAAATGCGAATTGTGTGATTGCTTTCCTTAAAAACTTGGAGTTTATTCCATTTTGAAGTTTTCTCTAGTTTAACATTTGAAGAAAAAAAATATATATATATAAGTATATACAGACAGTCCCCAACTTACTATTGTTGGACTTATGATTTTTCCACTTTATGGTTATGGGAAAGCCATACTCATTCGGTAGAAACTGTACTTTGAACTGTGAATTTTGATCTTTCCCTGGGCTGGTGATATGTTGCACGATCCTCTCTCGTGATGCTGGGCAGCGGCAGCCCCACGGCTCCCGTCAGCCACGCCATCATGAGGGTGAACGATACACTTACGGCCCTTCTGTTTTCACTTTCAGTCCAGTATTCAGTAAGTTACATGAGATATTCAACAGTTTGTTATAAAATAGGCTTTGTGTAAGATGCTTTTACCCAATCGTAGGCTAATGTAAGGGTTCTGAGCACGTTTAAGGTAGGTTGAGCTAAGGTCTGATGTACAGTAGGTTAGGTGTATTAAATGCATTTTCATTTACGATATTTTCAACTTACAATTGGGACATAACTCCATCGTAAGTCAAGGAAGATCTTTGTGTGTACATATATATATGCACATTTATAATATGAACATTCCTATCTATCTTTGACAGAAGAAGATTAAAAGGGATTTATATTGGCATATATATACCAAAAGGTCTCTAAAGTATGTAGGGAAAATTAGGTAAAGGAAAAATACTGGTAGGAATGTAAGTCTGCAGAGAGAGGTAGTAGTAATAAAAAGCCTGCGATGCCAGCCTGCCTTCACAGAGGAGGGTTCAAAAGTAGGCCCTGCATTTTCAGGCAATGCAGAAGATGACAGAAGGAGAGAAACACTACACTTATGGGATTTGTTTTTTCTGAGATAAAAGTCAACCAGTTAAGAAATTCAGAACTTCTCCTTATAGTGAGTCCAGAAGAGTGTCTAATTTCAACAGAAGGACAAGGTATAACATCGTGAAAAGTGACTTCAATACAGTAGTCTGCCTTATCTACGGAGGTACATTCCAGGACCCCCCAGTGGATGCCTGAAACAGCGGATAGTACCAAACCCTATATATACACTATGTTTTCTTCCATACATACATACCTATGATAAAACTTAATTTATATATTAGGCACAGTAAGAGATTAACAATAATAACTAATAATAAAATAGAGCAATTATAACAATATACTATAATAAAAGTTATTGTAGATCTTATCAGACTCAGCATGTGATTTTTTTTCTTTCCTGAAGTCAAAAACTTTCACCTTTTCACTTAAAGGAAGCACTTCATGGCTTCTCTTTGGCATATCCAAATTGCCAGCATCACTACTCTTGTGCCTTGGGGCCATCATTAAGTAAAATAAGGGTTACTTGAACACAAGGTCTGTGATACCACAACAATAGATCTGATAACCAAGACGATGGCTAAGTGACTGATGGGCAGGTGGTGTATACGGCGTGGATACACCGGACAAAGGGATGATGTATCTCCCGGGTGGGACAGAGTAGGATGGGGCAAGATTTAATCACAATACTCACAACAGCCCACAATTTAAAACTTATGAATTGTTAATTTCTGGAATTTTCCATTTAATATTTTCAGACCGTGGTTGACCGCAAAAAGTGAAACTGCAGATAAGGGGGGACTACTGTACCTTCCTTGCAGCAATTGTAGTGACCTGGGTTGCTTTCACTGGAGATACAGACTAAACCACCTCTGACGAGTGTCTGGCACCACTGCTTTTTAAATCATTAAATATTTATTGTGTTATGTTTTGAATTTATTTAAACACAGTCATTTTCCAAAAAGGATTAGGGAAAAAATCAGATTACTCTATGTATAACTGTGTTCTCCATATTATATAATGGGAAAAAGGATTTTTGCTGCTGTGCAGAGAATTTGTGTAGGTAAGGATCAGCATCAGGTCAACTGATTCACTAGCGTGAAAGCTCTCTGCTTTAAGCATAGCACAATATAACTGCTTAGTTTTATTTTTAAATCTATATTCAGCCTGAAAACTCATCAAATATGTTAATAGGTTGATGTCTAATATGCAGAATGAATTATGTTTTTTGTAAGAAATATGAGTGTATTTCATATTGATTATACTCACTGATGCATACCAGCAAGAAAAAATGAACACATTCTGTTATCATATTATCATCTCCATTGTAAATCATGTCCCCTCTCTCTCCCCAAGGCGCAGTCCCCACAGCCCCTGAGCAACCTGCAGATGAAATGGAGAATCAAGTAAAGGCTCCCGATCCAGGGCCTGATAATCCTCCTGACTACGAGTCCCATTTTGTACAAGGTGGGTTAAAGATTCAGGGAGGATCTTTTCCTTCTCCAGAAAACCATACTAATAGTTAAGATTGCTTTTAAAAGTAACTAATTAATTGAGTGATTCAATAGATAAATATTGAATACCTACAGGTGCCAAGTAGTGTACTAGATGTTAATTAGAACATGTTCTGTCTTCGTAGGATTTGTAGGCTGCTGAGGAAGGAAGCTGTACAAACATTGATGGTATTCTCTTCATCTAGTGTGGAAGTATAAAGAGAATGTTGAGGGGCACAGAAGAGAGTAACTGACTCTACCAGGGTTTTGGGGGAAACCCTAACTGAGGAAGTTAAGTTTTGTTGGCATGATCAAGAAAAGAAAAGGGGTGGGGGACCACGCCTGGCGGAAAGAACAATACGTCCAAAAGCACAAGATCATGAAGGTCTGGGGTGAGGCGTGTGTGGGACAAACGGCAGGTGCAGTGCAGAGAATTGGAGGTGAATGGCCTTGAGTGTTGACTACGAAGTTTGTAGTTCTGTAAATATTTTTATAAGTCTGAATACACTACTGGTGGTGACTCAGGAAAATGGACACTCATACTGCTAGTGAAAATTTGAGTTATTATAGTCTTTTTAGAAAGTAATTGGGTAATGTGTAAAATTTTAAAAATTAAAAATATATTTACTTGTGACTAAGGAAACGGTTTTAATCAGGATTGTATTCAAATACATTTTTAATGACTTAGTGATAGATAAGATGTAGGAATATTTCTTTAAATACATATTTAAGTGTATATTTAGAGGTGGAAATCGTTGAGTGAGTCTTAAACGGACAAAAGAAACCCCAGTATCCACAGTATGATGGCAAAGATGTTGTTTTGCTCTAAACAGATGACCCCTGGAGCCCAGGTGACCTCTGCCCCTGCGATGTTTTCTGAAAACAGCAAGGCTTCCTTTTCTCCTTTCTCTCCTGTGTACGCATGTCATGTAGATCTGATCCGGTATAACTCCTGATTACTGGCCCCACCCCTGCTAAATCTAATGTCTTGACAATCCTAAATTATAATCACGCTGTATCTGACCATTTCTATAAATTTACCTCAATGACTACCATCATGATCTACATATTCTATCTTATATTCACCAATCACTCTATACCCAAGAACCTAGATTCTACTGGAAGAGAAGCTTCACCATTTCTAAATAAACATTGGTTATAAATGATGTTCTGCTCATCTGGGAAAATGTCTGTTCCTCTCTATATCAAAAAATTAGCAAGAGAGTAGGATACGCCCTTGAAAATAAATTGACTACATAAGTTGAAAAATACTATAGTGCAGAACATACAACCAATAAATTTTCAGTTATGAAATATAGGAACAAAAATTTACTGTGATTGCCACCTAGTGGCTGTACTATATACTTATTTATGATGACTGACGCAAATTATGTCCCTGTTATTCACGTTAACGAACTTGAAATACTATACTTGACATATTTGGCATTAATGAATTTCTTTAAATTCAAGTATGTAATTTTCATTTGAATTATAATACTGGATATGTGTTCCCCCTGAAAATAATTTTGTTGCAAATATGTTTAAAAGAATACTTAATAAAGAAATCTTTGTTACATGTAGTCTATTTAAAGAGAAAATGACACAATTTCTTGACATAAAAAAGGATGATTATATTCAAAATAACTAAGAAAGCACAAATCCCATAAAGCAGTATTTCTTTCAGTGTATTAGTAGGACAATGCTCCATAATAGACTTCTTTCTTTAAATAAGTGTGGGATACTGTAGTTACACAAAGTTAAACATGTTCTGTTTTGTTTTGTTTTCCTGTGGAATGAATCAGAACCCTTAATGGCAATTTCAGAGCTCAAAAGGGAGTAAAATATGCTTGTTTCCCACACATAATTTGATCCTGTTTTTTCCTTCACTTCTTGTAACATCTCTGAATAATACATACTTATGACAAAAATTATTTGATTACATAAATTTGTATATAATTTTTCTTAGAAATATAATCTTTATACTGAATAGCCACATAATCTAAATTGTAAGTTTCTTATTTAGTGATCCTCGAATTTTATTACATGAGATACTTTTATATTAAAATCACATGGTTAATATCACAAGAATTATCCATCAACTCATCGAAATGATATAACAATTAGTATTCTTAAGATAGTTTATATGACTTTTAGTTGCATTGTTATTTTTAATAATAATTCTAAAAAAGCAGGGAGGGATATCTGATTTCCAGTCCAATCTGAGTACTCTTAAACACAATTCTTAAAGGAATTCAAGTATATTCTTCATGAGAAACTGAAGCATGTAATTTCTTCAATTTTTTTCCTAAAGACATTGGATCTTTTTTTCTCCCTTAGCTCTAAGTTGACGTTGTTTCTTGTTGCTATTATTTTTACTTTAGTCTCTCCTGACTCTCAGTCTCTGTCAAGAGCTCTGTGTCCCCTACCCTTAAACACTGGTGTCCCCACAGCTCCTTGGTACACTCCCGTGCCCTCCCCTGCCCTGCCTCCCGCTCTCACATCTTCCATTGACCGTCCTTTTACACACTCTCCTCAGTGATCTCGGTAATACCTATGGTTTCGTTTGCCTTTAACCACTTATGAACCCCTTAGCCCCCGCTCATATCCATCTCCTTTGCTCTAAATTTGCGTTTCCAACTGCCTGTAGACCACTTCCCCTGGATGACCCTGGATCTCAGACTCAGTGATCCTCAATCCAACTTTGGCGTCTTGCTCCCGAACACATAGACTCTATTCTTTCTGTACTCTCGAAACCCAAGGGACCCTAATCAGAAACTTGAGAATCTTTCCTTGCATCTAATCTGTTACCAAGACAATACTGTCTCTTAAATGTCCATTATTATTTCTCCGCTTTCTGCTCCTTTCATCACAATCAAAATTCTTTGCCTTCCATCTGGACTCCTGCAGGCACCTCCTGACTAATCTAACCTTCTCATTCACAAGGTTCCAAATGTGAAACTGATCACTCCACTTTCCATTTCATCTGCACATGGGTCAAGTTCTCTGCACAGAGTGTATAGGTCTTTCCTAATCTTCTCTCCCTCCCCACCTCCTTCCTAGCATTGTCTGCTAAATCTCCATACAGTGCCTTTACTCCCACGGTACTGAGCCTCCCTGGGCAACTGCTTGCTTTGCGCCTATGCTCACTGTAAAACCTTTGCCCGTCACGGAAGTGCTGTCTGGGTCTACTGTGTCAGCACTTTCATCATAGGGACCCCCTCTGCTAGGTCAGGTGCCCCTCCTCTCTAATCCCTTCACACACTATGCACTTACCTATGGTTACACCAGTTACTCACTTCATGATAACCATTCACTTTTTTGTGTGTGTGCGTGAGGAAGACTAGCCCTGCACTAACATCTGTTGCCAATCCTCCTCTTTTTGCCGAGGAAGATTGGCTCCGGGCTAACATCCGTGCCCGTCTTCCTCCACGTTATATGAGGGACGCTGCCACAGCATGATTTGATGAGTGGTAAAATAGGTCCAAACCTGTGAACCCCAGGCCTCCAAAGCAGAGTGCGCGAACCTAACCACTAGGCCACCGAGCCAGCCCCGACCCTTCACTTTTTCTCATAAATCTGTGTGTCCTCCACAGAACTGGGTGTCCTTGAAGACAGACGTGTCTTTGTACATCTTTCTGTCCTTAGCAGCAAGCACAGCAGCTGGTCCTTGACAGGGGCTTGAGGAATGCCTCCTAGATAAGGGAAGGTTTAATTTCTCTCATAGCCTTATTTTCAGATGGTGTTAGGAGAAATGGTTTCACAATTCATGACTTTCATGAGTGGGATTTTTATGTGTAACGTGTCCCAGACTTCATCAGCTTCAAAAGCCACTCTTCCCTTTGATGCCCGAATCACTGGAATGTGAGCCTCTGGCCAGTTGGCCTCACAGGAGGTGCCATCTTTGCTTTATTTCTCATCCCAAAGAACTTCTCGGGCAGTGTCCCTTCCTGGTGGTGGCTGGATTTCTCAGCTTAGGCTGACCCCAGAGCACTGCTTTGTCTCTATGCTGGTCACCTCTGACTGTCCTGAGACCAGCTTTCTGCTGGCTGAGCTATTTTTTCCTGTACTGTGTTGTCCTGTGGGAGGTGGGGGGTGTGCAGAACCTAAAGATTTAAGGACTTAAAAATAGCTGCTCACTAGAGTTGCTCCTCTGGTCTACAGTTCCAAGGCTTTCCAGAGAATCCCGTTTTGGATATTCCTCTTCCTAGCCTCTGATCTAGGGGGAGTATTATCACAATTTAATTAAGGATGCTTGAGTTTTAGTTCTGACTCTGCCGCATATAAGCTATTAATCCTTCAGCAAGTCACTTAACCTCCTTATGTCTCAGTTTCCTCCTCTGCAAATGAAGGATGATAACAGTACCTACCACATAGAGTTGATGTAAAGATCACAAGATTTAATACTTGTAAAGTAGTTAGAACAGTGCCTGGCACATAAGAGCTCAGTAAGTGTTAACTATTATCTTGGTTTTTTTTTTTTAATAGTCAACGTAGCTTCCTCTAACAGGAGTTCCTTCCAGATCTGCATGGTTTGCAGGACCCAGTTCTTTGGGTTCTCTGAGAGAGCATCGTCTCCACCTTACCCCACTCTCTCAAGTCTTTTTCATTCTGCAGCAGTGACCTTTTCAAAGAACAGCTGCCAGTGGAACCATCCACATTTTTCAGGAGCTATCTGTCAGTCCCTGCCCTACACAGTTGTGAGCATTGCTTTTTGTTACAAAAAGATACCAGATTCCGTAGTCTATTGACCCCCAGTGTCCAAAGCCTGGGTTACTTGGGGACATGTGATGCCATTTGTGGGGCTTCCTTATCACAGCCCCCGTTGGGCTTCTACTATCCAGTCTTGTTCCCTTTAGCATTCTTACCTGGACCTGAGGTGGATCTTGGCTTCTAGTACCTCTTGCTGTCATCTGGACTGACATCCCAATAATTCTTGAGCAGATATACAAGAAAACACAGATATATGCACATACATACAGTATAAGAACAAACAGTAATTTTCAGAAAGAAACTGCAGTTTAACCTATATTTAAGATTTTTTTTTTTCCCCCTCAAGGAAGGGATCCACAGAGAACTGTCTCCAACCGTGATAAAAACAAGCTCCTGTATGGTTATACATCACAGTTTTGTAACATTGTCTCTATCTTTTCCATTCCAAAATAGAATCTTTCCTTTCTCTACATTGGTTAAATAAAAGGGTCTTTAAATCAGTGGCTTTCAAACATTCTTGATGATAATCTACTATGACCCACAGTAAACAATACATATATATTAGTATTTATTTTTATTTAACCAGCACAAATTTCACCAAGCAATACTCAATACAGTGAGTATATAGCCTGTGGGCAGTACGGTTTGATATTTGCTATTTTATTTTAGTCCGATCTAATCAATTTTATTTATAAAAACTGCAATTGTGGACCATTAAATTGATTTCATAGACCATGAATGTATCTACAGTTTATAAAACACTGTATTAGAATAATGTTTCTCAAAGTTAGTTGTTGATAAGAATTAATGAAATAGCTATACTTGTATCAGATAAAATATACTTTAAGACAACAATTGTTACTAGAGATAAAGGGCATTTCATAATAATAGAAGTGTCAATCCATCAAGAAGACATAAGATTTATGTACATATATACACCTAAAAACAGAGCTCCAAAATACGCAAAGCAAAAACTGACAGGACTAAAGGATGAAATAGACAATTCAGTAAATTAATTGGCCAGACTGCAATATCCCACTTAACAAAAATGGATAGAATGACTAAGCAGAAGATCAGAAAGGAAATAGAAGCCGTGAACAACACTGTAAACCAAACCAGACGTGATAGACATGTCTAGAACACTCTACCCAACAATAGCAGAATATACATGCTTCTCAAGTGCACATAGGACATTCTCCAGGATAGACCTACTAGGAAGACCATAAAGCAAGTCTCAATAAATTTAAAACAACTGAAATCACACAGAATATATTCTGCCACAGTAGAATAAATTAGTAATCAATAATAATGAAAGGAAATCTGGAAAATCACAAATATGAGGAAATTAAAAAATACACTCGTAAATAAACAAAGAGGCAAAAAGAAATCACAAGAGAAATTAGAAAATAATTTGAGATGAATGAAGAAAAAACACAATATATCAAAGCTTATTGGATGCAGCTAAAACAGAGCTTAGAGGGAAATTTACAGCTGTAAACACCTACCTTAAAAAAGAAGATCTCAGATCAATAACCCAACTTTCCACCTTAGAAATAAGCCAAACCAAAAGCAAGCAGGAGGAAATAATTGAGATTAAAATAGAAGTAAATGGGGCCGGCCCCGTGGCTTGGCGGTTGGGTGTGCGGGCTCCGCTGCTGGCGGCCTGGGTTCGGATCCCGGGCGCGTACCGACGCACCGCTTCTCCGGCCATGCTGAGGCCAGGTCCCACATACAGCAACTAGAAGGATGTGAAACTATGACGTACAACTGTCTACTGGGGCTTTGGGGGGCAAATACATAAATAAAAAAAAAAAAACTTAAAAAAATAGAAGTAAATGAAATAGAAGAAAAACAATAGACAAAATGAACAAAAGCAAAAGTTGGTTCTTTGAAAAGATCAACAAAATTGAGAAACCTTAGGCCAGACTGACCAAGAAAAAAATAGACTCAAATTATTAAAATCAGGAATGAAAATGGGGACATTACTAACAACCTTACAGAAATTAAAACATATTATAAAGAATACTATGAACGGTGATATGCGAGTAAATTAGAAAACTTATATGAAACAAACAGATTCCTAGAAAGACACAAGCAACTGAAACTGACTCAAGAAGAAATAGAAAACCTGAATAGACCTACATAACAAGTAAAGAGATTGAATTAGTAATTTAAAAATTTCTGACAAAGTAAAGCCCAGGCCTAGATGGCTTTATTCGTGAATTCTACAAAATGCTTAATTAAGATTTGAATACCAATCCTTTACCAAAAAATGGAAGAATAATGAAAACTTCCCACTCATTCTGTGGGACCAGTATTACCCTATTAGCGAAATCAGACAAAGACATCACAAGAAATGAAAATTACAGACCAATATCTCATATAAATATAGATGCAAAAATACATAACAAAATACTAGCAACATAGTAACCAAATCCAGCAACATATAATAAGGTTCATATAACATGACCAAGTGGGGTTTGTCCCAAGAATAAGAGGTTGGTTTATCATACAAAAATCAATCAATATATATACCATATTAATGAAATATAGGACAAAACCCACATGATTGTGTCAATAGATACAGAAAAAGCATTCAACAAAGTAAAACATCCTTCATGATAAAAACACTCAACAAACTAGGAATAGGCGGGAACTGCCTCAATCTTATGAAGGGCATCCATGAAAACCCCACAGCTTAACATTATACTTAGTAGTAAAAGCTGAAAGTACTCCCCCTAAAATCAAGAAAAGACAGGATATTCCCTCATGCCACTTCTATTCAACATTGTACTAGAGGTTCTAACAAGGGCAGTTAGGCAGGGACAAGTAATAAAAGTCATCCAGATCAGAAAAGAAGAAGCAAAACTGTCTCTGTTTGCAGATGACATGATCTCGTATATAGAAAATCCTAAAGAATACACACACATGATCTATTAGCACTAATAAATGAGTTGAGCAGTGGGAGTTTAAAACAGTGAAGCCACTTTGGAAAATAGTTTGGCAGTTCCTCAAAAAATTAAAGCTATTCCACTGCTCGGCATGTACTCAAGAGAACTGAAAACATGTCCACACCAAAACTTGTGCACCAGTGTTCACAGCAGTGTTCTTTATAATAGCCAAAAAGTAGAAACAACCCAAATGTCCATCAACTGATTAATAGATACATAAAATGTGACATATCCATACAATGGAATATTATTCGACCATAAAAAGGAACGAAGTACTACCAATATGTGCTACAACATGGATGTACCTTGAAAATATTATGCTGAATGAAAGAAACCAGATGCAAAGGCTACATGTTACATGATTTCATTTATATGAAATGTCCAGATTAGGCAAATCTGTAGAGACAGTGGTTTCCAAGGGCTGGGGCAGAAGATGGCAATGACTGCTAATGGGTATGGGCTTCCTTTCTGGGATGATGGAACTGTTCTGGAATTAGATAGCAGTCATTAAAAGCACCCTGTTGAAGTTAAGTAGACCTTGCTATCTTTGTGACCTTAAACAATAATGACAATAAATATAATAAAAATGTACAGTGCTGATTACGTGCTAAGCCTGGTGCTAATCTTATCACAACCTAATTAAGTAGGTGTATTATAATCTCCAAAGGAGAAACCTAATACATAGAGAAGCTAACATGTTACTTGATGTCTCAAACCTTATTCCTACACCTCTGAAATGGGAATAATTATCTCATAAGGTTTGAGAGGATTAAATAAGATAATATGTGAATCTCCTTAGTACCTTTTTGGTGTATGGTACACATTCAGAAAATGGAACTTGTTATTTTTTAAGTGAATGCTGTGTGATCCAAATTATCTTCATGTAGAAAGTCATGCTAACTTCCAATATATTATAGTGTTAATAATGTATAATACTTTTATTTGTTTTTGAGCACAGGACCCCCTGGACCAGCTGTCCTTCTACCTGCCGGCTACCCAGGAGGCTTGCCTACAAGATACTACAGTCCACAGCAGCCCAGTACCTTCCCCTTGTACCAGCCAACTGGTGGTGTCCATCCTATCCAGTACCAGCCTGGCAAATACTCTTTGCCAAATCAGTCAGCTCCAATAACATGGATGCCAGGGCCAGCTCTTATGCCAAACTGTCCTCCTGGTCTAGAATACTTAGCCCAGGTACTCCACACAAATCCAAGTTATTTTCTTATGAAGTATGACTGAGGATCTGACAAGAAGAGACAAAGGGCTAGATGGAGTAGATAGAGGTGATGGGTCAGTGGTGGCAGATGTCTAGTTTGTGAGACTGTAGGAATGGTAGTACTAATTTCAGAAATGTGAAGGGGGAACAAAGAGTATAGGAATGTTTTTGGTGGTTGAGTATCATTTTCTAAAGGATGTACATTGAATTTTAAGATAACCAAGATGCCCTATTGAAGGCAGTTTAAAAAATAGGAACCAAAGAAAACCTATCAAAGATCCTAATTGCGGTATCATTTGCTTAGAAGTAGAGTTAACATCAAGAAAAGCAACATGAAGAACAGAACAGTAGACAGTAAGTGAATCATGGAATGCCTCAGCCCATTGCTTCTTCTCACCACCTATAATTTTCATCAGCCATTCCTGCCACCCCCCAAACATACAGTGTAAATAAAAATAGGGGACCTACCAAGGGTGTTGCTTCAGATCAAGTTAACAGAAAACCCCTTCCCACAATACAGCGACTTCTCATTTTCTGTCTGTATAGACATTCTGGAGCTACGAGGACATCCAGATCAGAAACTGGGTCAATATGTCAAATTGATGTACCAAATGGTATTGTTTAAAAACACATGTCACAAACTCAAAAAAAATTGCTTAATGAACATAAGACAAAGCTAGTATTGGAAATCTCTTAAAAGCAATTGAATCATGTTTTGCTTTTAGAAAAGCGAAGTGTTGAAATACATTCTGAGCAGGGGACTGGCCAATTCAATACGTGTCTCCTTGCATAGTCAATCAAATATTCCTTGGAGTTGACATATTTGTCTTTTCAATTTTATATTTTGGTAGAGACCCTGTTAAAATCCTGTGCATTGAGAACCATTGGTACTATGTTATGGTATTGATATTTGAAAGTCAGTACAGTTGGATCAGGAAAATTGCGATTTTATATGAGTCAAAAATTTTATTAAATTGTTGTTTTGGCAAAATATTGACAAAATACAAAGCCAGTTATTCAGGTATACAGTCATAGAGTAAACCCCCCTACATTATTTCAGAAGCTTATAAAATGTTTATAGTTAATCAAGTTTAGAAAGTCTGTTTTGTATATTTGATGATAAATACCAAAATTGTCCTTAGAAATCCAAGATCTGGAGTCATTTCTCTTTTAAAAAGGTATAGCTTTGATATTGTTCATTTAAATATAACAGTTTCTTAATTTCGTCTATTATTCTGACAGAAGTTAAATGAACATATTTTATGATTTCTGTTTTCTCTTTCAGGAATATTTTGAGTTAAAAAAATAAATGAGAAAAAGAAACAAAACAGGTTTGGAGCAGACAAACCTGGGTTTTCCTTCTGGCTCTGCTTCCTCTTCACCGTACAGCCTTGAGGAGCTTCCCTGACCTCGTAGTGCTTGCATTTAATCATCAATAAAATAGTACTGGCAACACATACCGTATTACATTGTTAGGAGAATTTTTAATGAGATGAGGCTTATAATGTGCCTACTAGTTTTGGCCCCCAGGGCCCACCCAATGGGTGATAGCTATGTGGATGTTATTCATTAAAATTCCTTATTTGTGATTGGAAGACACAGAGCCAATCATTTTTTTTATCATTTATCCTAGTCTTTTTGCAATCTCAGGTGCAGATGACACGAATCTTTATCAGGACTGTCAAAACTCCATAGCATCCGAAGTAGCAGGATTCTGTTATTTCTAGAGTATTGGGCTTGGCCCGTGACTGCAGCGATTTGTGAGAGAGCTGCTCCTAACAGCTGTAGCATCTTACTGGGCAACTTCATCCACACTAATGGGCCTCATTTCTTTAGAATATTTTGCTCAGCAGTGGATGCATTTACCAAGCAGTGAACATTTTTACTTTTTAGTTCTAGATGTTAACATCCTGGATTTTTTAAAGAAACTATAAATCACTTTAGTGGCCATTTTTGATATTTTATAAGACATTTTTAGACCCCCTCACCTGATTGTTTTCATACAAGAAAAAGGTTTTAATGAAGGAAAGATTGTATCCTCTCTATACCCTTCTGTAATCAATCATACCACAAAACATTCAAGTCCAGTTATTTTTAATTTTGTTTTTTACCACATTCATGTATTTCTCATTAATTAATGTATTCAATGAATATTTGGTGAAATATGGTATTTCAGGAAGTGTTCTGGGCTCGGGTTATCTAAAATTATATTTTTAGATTAATATTATCTAAAATTGTATAGATACGATTAGTCTGTCCTCAAAGAGGTTTCTTCTTTTCTGCTAGAATATTCTCAAATATAACAGGTAATGGGCCCATCAGGCTGTCTGTCTGTAGAGTGATTCCTAAATGAAGTTAAGGTTGAAGTTTATCTAATGGTATTCCCAATCTCCCTTTTCAAGAAATCCCATTCCAGAATGTTTCCTCCCCTTTGTGCTAATCCTTCACATGCTTCCAGTCCTCGTGGACCCTCCCCTTATTAAAGTATGCACCGAGGGAGGACCCTGGCATTAGTAGCTGAAATGAATGGAAGTTATTGTGTTAACCTTTTCCAAAGGTACCTATGAAATACAGTTATGTGCCGCATAACGGCGTTTCAGTTGACGACGGACCACATACATGATGGTGGTCCCCTAAGATTAGTACCACGTAGCCTAGGTGTGTAGTAGACTGTACCATCTAGGTTTGTGAAGGTACACTCGATGATGTTCCCACAGCGAAATTGCCTGAGGCATTTCTCAGAACGTATCCCTGTGGTTAAGTGACGCATGACTGTAACATAAAACTGGACACTCCTGTGTGAGGTCCACCCTGGCAGAGTCACTCTCCCCATGCCACTGAGAAAATTGCTTTCTCTATGGCTTGTCTGTGTTAAAGCATCCTGAACTTCTTGAGCAACTCTAGTCTGGGTGACATGTCACAGAGACCAGTGAGTAGGGACTGAGCTAGGAGCCATCTGTGTCAACACAGGTTCTTCTAGATGCTGTTACTGTAGCAGGGAGATGATTTTCTGATATACCAGGCAACTGTTTATCTTTTAAACTAGAAATAGAGAAAAGTGGTTTTCCTATCCAGACAGCTGTGCTAATAACCATCTGATGAGGTGCAAATGGGCTAATTTCATTTGATAAAATTTTTTTTTGATTGCATTTAATTTCGAAAAAATATTTTAGTATCAATTGATACATTTTAATACCTATCTCATCACTTTCTTTTCTCATGCTGATTTGATTTAATTCTGGTTTTTCTCTTTCTCCTAATTGCTTTGTTCTGTCCCAACAGTTGGACAACATACACGTTCTTCAGCATTTTGAGCCTCTGGAAAGTATGTATAATTTTGTAGTGTTCAGCAGTATTTGAATCAGGTAGAAATTTGCATTATCCAATATTTAGTTCTTTATTTGTACTGATCATTTTTTAGTAGTTGAAAGAGAAAAAACTCTTCTCTATTACCCTCTCTTCAAGAAAGTAATGAAGGGAATTATTTTGTATAATTTTATCCATTTATATATCATATATAAGTTCTTAGACTTGAAACTAAGAAAGGACTTACACTTTATGTGGTCACGCCCTCTAATCCTTACCCATCCCTTCTTCTGCATATTCACTTTTCTTGTGTGAGGAAAAGAGAGAGCCAAGAGACTAAATGGGTTAGCCAGGAGCACCATAGTCAGCTAAGCAGCAGGAGAGCTGGAAATAGACTCCAAATCTGCTGAGTTCTAGTCCAGTGCCCTTGCTTTGGAAATAAAAAGAAATCACAGTAAACAATGCCTGTTCTCAGTTCATCCTCGCTAGATTACTGACCCTCATGTGCCAGCCCTACACGTTCATTTGACCACCACATGGAGCCTTTGACTATCCTTGGCTCATTTTCTTATTTGCAATTAGTAATGACCCTCATCATCTCAGCATATTTCATGAGCTGATTAATTTATGGTCCAATGTATAATTTTATCTAAATAGTTTTATAATTAAAGTTTACTGAATTTAGGTATTCCAGGAATACTGTTTCAATCTTTGCTTTTATTGTTTTTAAAATTATTTTATACTGAGATTCTTAGAAATGTTTTAAATTTTCAAAATAACTAAGTACTTATAGGGCATATTACTATTTTGATGTTCTAATCGCATATATTTCACCTGAAATTTTTAAAAAACTATTTTTCTTTAAGCCCCTAAGAAATACTACAAAAGGACTTCTTGAGGCCCATTTTCACTGCTTCTAATTTAAGATGGCTTTCTCATTTTATTTTTTGGGGATGACAGGTATTGAAACTAATAATAGATATGATATTAAAAACAACCTGGACCAGATGGTGTACATCGTAACTGAAGATACAGACGACTTTACCAGAAATTCTTACCGGACACTAAGGCCCTTCGTCCTCCGGGTCACTGACTGTGTGGGCCGAGAAATCATGACAATGCAGAGACCTTTCAGATGTACCTGCTGTTGCTTCTGTTGTCCCTCCACCAGGCAAGAGGTCAGAGAACAGAAGTCTAATCCATTGTTCCCTCCTGTTCCAACTCTTCACGGCATGATTGTGCTCCTTCAAAAACGACGCAGGAGGGAATTTTCACTGGATCTGCTTGTCACAATGAAGGAAGATAGTGGGGAGGGAGGAAGCCAAGTTAGCTCACCTACAGAAAATCACACAGGGCTTTTTCTTGTGGGTTCATGTTTTGTGGTGCTATTCAGTGGGTTAAACACAAATTAAGGTTGTTTAGTCAATGAACACAATTCTATCAGTTGTGTCTTCTGAATCAGAAATTTACCTGTCACCTAGAACAGTAGTCACACACATTTTATCTGAATGTACCTATGTATCCAGATAAGCACAAACATATGCTTTTAGAATTGGAAGAGACCTTAGATAACTTTACACTACCATCTCAGCCCATACCTTGCTACAGGTAAAGAAAGGGTGGTTAAGTGCCTGATGATGGTACTGGAATCAGAGTGCACATGTGCTAAGTTCCAGTGGGGTTGCTCTTCTATGACCTACACAGCTCTAGGAAAGTTGTTTGCCACAGGGAAAAGAAAAGCAGTTTTAGAGGGAGGTCCAAGAGAATTTGAATTTCAGATATGCCACCTACTTAAATTTGGACACTTTACTTCTTTGAGCTTCAGTGTTCTTATCCGTAAACTGGGCATATACTCTATTGGATTACTGGGATACTTAAATGATATGTTAATTATCAGCATTTACAATAGTAATTTTTTTATAGCCCTCTCTGTGCCTTGATTTATTCACCTGTAAAATGGAGATATTAATAGTACCTATCTCATAGCATGATTATTTTGAGGATTAAGTAGTAAACAAATATCAACTGCTTAGCACAGTGTCTGACAAACAGTGTGGTGCTCAATGAATACTAGCTGTTGTCAGATATCTTACTCCTTTGTCATTCTTGTCTTTGTAATAATAGTCTTATATTTGAGGTGAATCTCTGCCTCTTATCCTTGATGCTATTGATACAAATAACCAATAATTTGTATACCATTCTATAGATAAGAGAGAGAAAGTGAATTTTACTTGAGCCAAGCTGAGGATTATAACCCAGGAAAGCAGCCTTCACAAAGGACGAAAGTGTTCTGGAGAAGCATGGTTTTCAGTACACCTTTTTACCTTTTTAGAACAAAGAACATACATCAGACATGCCCAGGATACATATCCATCAAAGTTTTAAAGAGATATTCAGTTGCAAATTAGCAGGTCAACATGACCCTGTTGTCCGAGAAAGGAAACATCTTCAGGAGTACTGATACTGGCCTCAGGAAAGGAAGTATGCATCCTTATCTTCAAAGAGTGCATTCTTGTACTTTGAGATAATGTTTAATGCGTTCTTTGCTTTAATGGTTAAAGCAGATGTACAATGTATGTTTGACAGGCTGTAAGTCAGGCTTCTTTAGTTCAAGCCAAATCAGTTTAAACAAGAATAGCTACCCCATATACCTCAATATGTGAAAATTTCTTCTTAATGCTTTTGTATAGTAGGCATTTTTCTTCATATTCATGAATTGAACTTAGTAAATCACAGCCTCTAAGTTCAGCCTTCCGAGATTATAGGAAGCCAGCACAGAGTAAAGAAAATCAAAATTACAGTCTTAGTCCAATGTATGGAACTTTAGTTCCACAATGTTATCTAGATTTTTTTCTGATTTCTCCAGTTTTACTTGTATTCACGTGTACGTGTGTGTGTGTATTTATTTAGTTCTATGCAGTTTTATCAGCTATGTAGATTCCTGTATCCATCACCACAATACAAATACCAAACAGTCCATCACTGCAAAAAAACCCCTTTATAACCACACCCCCCTCCCTCCCTCCTCTTCATCCCTAAACGCTGGAAACTACTAATCTGTTCTCCATCTCTATAATTTTGTCATTTCAAGAATGTTATATAAACAGAATCATATAGTATGGAACCTTTTAGGACTGGCTTTTTTCACTCAGTGTAACTACCTTGAGATTCATACAAGTTGTTACATGTATCAACAGTGCATTTCTTTTTGTGCCTGAGTAATATATCATGGTATGCATTTTTTTAAAGGTAATTTATTTGTATACAGTTTTGATGTTTTATGTCTTAAGCCTAGACTTATATGAGATCTCAGTCCTAGGAAACTATCAAATTTATATGTTTGTGTATGTGTGTGAATGTATATACATGAACAATAATATCTTGATTTGACAGTTCATGAAGCTGCATAGTCCTGCCCCATGATGAGACCTAGGGGACTCAAAATTCTTAGGAAAGTATATATGACACCAGAGAAATTGTCAGTAGAACTTTCACTGTGGGCTTTTACCAAATAATTTAATTTTATGACTCTTTTATTATTATTAAATATGAAGATCTAAGTTCTTCACAAAGGAATATTATAAATATAATTAGCTAAAAGAGGGTAGTGGACAATATTTTAAAACTCTTTAAAAATGGGTTTATATTCCCATACACACATTCTGTTGTTTTCACATTATACAATTTTTAAAATGCTTCTCTTCTTTTTGTTTTCTATTATAATTGTCATGTCTGAAGATTTAAATCTAAGAAGTTAGCCTTTTACTTTTTTGTGGATTATGCCAGAAGACATGAGACTCCTAGATCAGAGACAAAGAACTTGATTACAGCATAGTAAGCAGCACGAGCATCAGCGTGTTTGTGTAGGTGCCCTTACCCCTAAGTTGTATGGGGTTGACTTGGAGAGGCCAGGCAGATGCTACATGTATAGCTGAGGACAACTGAGCTTGGAGAACTGACCATTTTGTAACTAGCAGTAACTTTGTCCCAAAGGGAAGCATGACTTCCTCTCTCAAGGCTATTCACTGAAATACAATCCTGAGAAATAGACCAGGTAAAATGGAAGACTCTCTCCCAAGAACAATTCCCCTAGTCCTTGAATGAAGGACACATCTGTGTTGTGTGTATGTATATACGTACGTGTGTAGCATCCTTGCCTTGTCAATGCTTCATTTGCAGCTGGAGGTGCAGTGTCCTCCTGGCGTCACCATTGGCTTTGTTGCAGAGCACTGGAACCTGTGCAGGGCAGTTTACAGCATCCAAAATGAGAAGAAAGAAAATGTGATGGGAGTGCGTGGGCCGTGCTCAACCTATGGCTGTGGTTCAGATTCTGTTTTTGAGGTAAACAAATGTAAAAATAATATTTCTACTATTTTTTCTACATGTGCTAACAGACCTCAGAATGGTCTGATTTTAGATGAATTTTTCCTGTGAATGAATAAAATAGTATGAGGAGAGAATTAATTAACCAGTTGACGTCAAATGATTTTCAAATTATTGGTAGCAGATTGCTCAGTGTTTTCCAAAATGTGAGCTCCTTTTTAATGATTTCAGTGTTTGATAAAGGTAAGAAGAAATCATTTAAAACATTAGACCTGAGAGTAAATAGCTTGACCTAATCAATTTATTTTATTCTTGGCTGCATTTAATTAACCATTTTTACAAAGATTTCTAGGATCAGAATATAGGTCCTAAGTAATGAAAGCGCCCAACATATCACAGAACGTATAGAGCACTCCTGAGATTGTGCAAATTGCTTGTTTGCAGGATAGAAGTCTGTCTGCGTCCTCAAGAAATAGGACAACATTGATAGCATGGATAAAACACATAATAGGCTATAACATTTTCTCAGGAAATAGAAAAATCCTTTTGTTTTGCCTTTATCTCAATGGCTACAGAATGATTGCTTATTACCCTACAGTTCTGACAAAGGAGATTCCTAGAAATACTTCCTGGGCTTCTTAAAGAGTTCGTTCTGAATGGCTTGCAATTCAGCAAGACTCATCATCTAAAATTGCTCACTCAGATATTTCCTGTGACACCCAATAAACTTTCCTTAGTTCTCATTTTACATCACCATGTCATCGAGCATTGCTGGATGGAAGACCATTGTAGAGAAATAGACAATGTTAAGAAGCCAAATTTCAGGGGCAGGCGTGTGGATCATTCTAATCACCAAAAGTAGTATTTGGGTATTTTCTTTGTGGCAAGTGCCCGGGTCCCCCTTTCAAAAGCTGAAGCCCTTCGAGATCTTGATGTACTGTAAGAAGCCAGGGTGGGTTTGGCCCACACAAGCTGGAGTGATTATAGGGAGTTTGTGAAGCACACAGAACCATGCCTCCTTGCTTTTGATCCTGTTTCTCCCTCAACTGGAAGAGACTCCTTCCCAATCCCCAATTCCCACCCTTTGCTATATGGGAAAGAATTTCAAAATCAATTCAAATGATGCCTCCTCGGACAGGCTCCCCTAATAACTCATTTGAGGATGAAGAAAGAACACTGGCCTGAGAATTGTAAGATAAACCCCAGCTCAGTCATTAACCAGTTGCAAGGCACTTAACCCTTCTTGGCCATAATTCCCTATTTGAAATTATGCTATTACTATATTTGTTTCCTGCACTATATTTATGTTACCTCAGTGTAAATGGCTTATAAAAAGAATAAAACATGTATTATAGTATCTTTCAATCATCAGGAAGTCACATTTTCATCTTCCTAGGTCCTGTCCCTTGATGGCGTGTCCAGTGTCGGCAGTATTATTAGGAAGTGGAATGGTCTCTTGTCAGCAATGGGCGATGCCGACCACTTTGATATTCACTTCCCGTTAGACATGAATGTGAAGATGAAAGCCGTGATTTTTGGAGCGTGCTTCCTCATTGTAAGCCTTTTGCTTTTGAGTTATCTTGAGAGAATTATTCTTTGTGACGAGAAGCAGCGTAGTACAGTGGAAAGGCAATAAGCTTTGAAACTAGGCCACCTTCTGTCTCTGCCACTTACTAGTTACATGTTTGGCAAAGTGTTTAACACTTGCAAGCCTCAGTCTCGTCATCTGTAAAATGGAGGTTAAAATATTTATTTTTTTCAAGATTGTGAATATTGGCTATCATATGAGTAAAGGGGCCAGGAGAGGGCTTGGAAGATATTAGGCATCCAATGGGTATAATGGTCATCATTGCATATATTTATCATTCCCACTACTTAAAGATGGCCGTCCTATGATTTCTCATTGAAATAAAATAACTCTAAATCTGATGTTTTTTCCCTCCACTTACTACCTCTCTATCAGTGTACTGCTTGGTGTTGAACCATCTTTAGACTTATTAGGTACAATTCCCTTGCTGTATTCCTGACTGATTAATGGTTAATATTCATAAGTTAAGCATAGAAATAAAATTGATAGTATTTACCTTAAAAACCTAATTAACATATTGCAATTGGTATAATTAACATGTTTAATATTGATTTTCAAGTTTTTCCTCCTTTTAACAATGAAACTTTAGTTCATTGGTACCCCAAGTGGAAAGCGTATTGGTTACCAAAAGCTTCAAGTTTGTAATTGCTGTCCTTCATGCTAGATTCTCTTCATAAAGATTTCATTAGATTTGTTTATTCTTAACTGGAATGGGAGGATCACCTGACACATTATAAAGGATAGTATTTTATGCGTTGCATCTAATTATTTATCAGCCTACATACATATAATTCTATACTTATCTATCTCTCTATCTATCTACATATAATTCTTTTTCTAATTTCAGGACTTCATGTATTTTGAAAGATCTCACCACAACGTTCATCAAGATAGATCAAGACAGTAAATCAGCAATTATAATTAATAAAAAAAAAATCAGAGAAGTTGATTGGGCTTACAGTCAACCCTCAATTATTTGCAAATACATTTATCTGTTTTTGCAGATTATTTGTATCGGGTGTTACTTTGACAGGTAGGCTGAGAGTGTAAGAGCAAGAACAGTCTGTGTATTTCAATTGAGTATCTGTCTCCTTGTCTATGTGGTAGGCTAGGAGTTCACCCTGAGAACACTATGACTTGTTAACCAGGTAAATGTATCTACAGTGAGCTTGAAAACACTTTAGCATGAAATAAGAGAAAATGCATCCCAGAGCTCTCATATGAATTAGTGGTAAAATGACTGGGTCTTTAGAGCAATCTTTGTGAAGATAGAGTAATATAGCTGCCATCTCTAAGCCTCTCGTCTCCATCAACATGTCCTGTTACTGAAGACAAATTTGATTCTAGGTGAAAAGAATGATATTCTTCATCTGTGAAAACAAAAAGAAGGTAGACAGAAATATTATGTTTTATCGTACAAGGAAAATTTTACCTGTGTACATGTATCAAAACCTCCTTTTTCAAAGTTTATAAAAGTTTCAATGGAAATTTTGATTTTATTATAAAATAAAAGGTTTTTTATATGATGAGGTTTATATTTTCCATGTCTGTTCCATCATTCACCAGCATGGGCAATCAGGAGCTGCCTATATATGGAGACAGGGTCAGGCTATCAGGGAAAGAGGTGACCAGGGCCACAGCCAATCTAGATCTCTGAGAAACTTAGAGACATCAGCGCCCTGTAAGAAGCTTGCATTTAATGCATTTAACCTCTCTTGGTCACAGATGCCTTATATATAATATATGTTGGGCCAAATCTCTAAGATTGCCTGTTGAACCTTTGTATCTCATTTGATGTGACACAGAGGATATAATTATTTTTTCTTTCAAGAAGATCCCTGATAATCACCGTGCTGTTCTAATTGCAAGCGTGGAGTTTTGTTTTTAAATTTTGAAATGTGACATTCTGTGTAGCGCTTTGTAAAAGCAAAAACTACAAATTCTGACACTGCCTAACATTGCTTTTCTGCTTTTTATTTAAATGATAGATAAATCTATATCTTTGCAAAGAAAATAATAAAACACAGCAAACATGCTACTTCTCTGGGATCTATAGCTTATCAGTAAAGATTATGTAGGCTCAACATAGTTAAAGTATAAACTGTGCTTGTTTGTATTAACTAGTTAAAAGCATAGTGTGTTAGTGAAGACACTGATAAGTCAACTTGCAACTATTGCACTTTAGCTTCCTATCTGGACATGGACTGTGTTCTTTCAACACAGCCAGTACGTAGACTGGAATGGATTCTTCTGCGGCTCCTTATCAAATAGAGCAAGCCTGAGTGTCCTTAGATGTGGTTGTTCTGTGGCCTTCACCTGCAGTTCTTATGGGAGTGAAAGAAAGGTGCCTTGTTTTTTAATGATACTTATCTTCTCATGGTAAAAGTTGTTTCACTCAGTTTCTTGTAATGTTCGTTGTTATGTACTACGCCTAGCTTTTTTAAACAAAATGTTAAAACTGCTGCCTTCTAAAATAATAATTACCTTATATTTGTAAGTGCAGTTGCAGTCTTAAACAGACATGTATATTATTTCTTATAATGATGTCAGATATTTTATATAGAAAATCAGACAAATAGTATTCAGAAAGTTTATCTATATAAACTTTCCACTTTTACTTGCCTACATTCCTTCATCCCAGGACCTGCTGCATAATACTAAGAAAAGATTATTTCCACCATGTTTTAAATTCTTGTTTAAAGTTTTTGTGGTATTAACATATCTGTCTTACAGTTATAACTTCTCTTTCTTTAAAAGTAGTACCATGTGTCTTATATTTTTATACTACCGTTCATATAATTTCTATGTTTCTTAATGTTATTTCATTGTGGAAAACTGATCAGATTTATTTAAAAAAAGCTATTCTCTGAAATTTGTGTTTCGTGCTTCGTCATATTGTTTTTGGCTTTTAAATAAATACGTGGTTTATAGTAAAATCCTGTTTTGTTTTTTGACTTGTGATTGAGTCTTTGCTGTAGACCGAATGTTTGTGTTCACCTCCCCTAAATTTATGTTACCTCAATATGATGGTGTTAGGAGGTGGGGCCTTTGGGAGGCGATAGGTCATGTGGGTGGAGCCCTCATGAATGGGATTAATGCCCTTATAATCTGCCAGCACCTTGATCTTGGGCCTCCAGAACTGTCAGAAATAAATGTTTGTTTAAGCCGTGCAGTATTTTTAAATGGTACAGTATTTTTGTTATAGCAGCCGAAACAGATTAAGAAAGAAAGTGGTACTGAAAAGTAGGGGTGCTGATGTAACAAATACCTGAAAATGTGGAAGTGGCTTTGGAACTGGGTGACAGGCAGAGGCTGGAAGAGTTTTGAGGTGCCTGCTAGAAAAAGCCTAGAATGCAGTGAATGGAATTTTAAAGATGATTCTGGTGAGAGCCCAGAAAGGAAAGAAGAGAACTGTAGAGAAAGCCTCAGTCTTCTTAGAGAATACATAACTGTCTCCACAGAATAACTGATAACCATTCTATAGATAAGAGAAATAAGGTGAGTTTACTTGAGCCAGAGTGAGGAATATAACCTGGCAAGGCCTTAGAAAGCGTTCCGGAGAAGCATGGTTTTCAGTACAGTCTTATATCTTTTTGGAAAAAAGAACATATATTCATAACCCAGGACACATTTTTATCAAAATTTCAAAGAGGTATTCAGGAAAGGGACTAATCCGGGCGTTACCAATAGGGCATTACCAATAGGGCGTAGGAGGGGAAGTATGCACTCTTATCTTAAGATAGTGCATTCTTTAATGATTAAGCAGATGTACAATGTGTGCTTGATAGGCCATAAGTCAGGCTTTTTAGTTCAAGCTGAATCAGTTTTGAACCCAAATACTTACCCCATATACCTCAATATGTGAAAATCTCTTGGCATAACTAATCCTGAACAGAATGTTGGTAGGAATATAGATAGTAAAGGCCATTTTGATGAGGTCCCAGACAGAAATGAGAAACATGTTATTAGAAACTGGAGGAGAGGGGATCCTTGTTATAAAGTGGCAAAGAACTCAGCTGAATTATGTTTACAATGTTGATGCAAATAACCAGTAATCAATCTATAGATCAAAATTGAGGGGAGTTTAATACATGAGCCAATTCTGAGGACTGTAGCCTGGGAGAGCAGCCTCCACCAAGGAAGGAAGCACTCAGAGAAGCGAGGTGTGCAGCATGGTTATATACGGTTTTGTAACAAGGAACATGCATCAAATATGGTCATGAGCATTTGAAAAATATCAGGAATACTTTTCTTTTTCTTTTTACTACAGTCATAATATGTTTTGCTACATTCAGCGGGTCAATCTGACCCTGGATTCTGGGAAGGAATGCTTATCTTGAAAGAAATGCTGATGTGGGAGGGAGGCAATCATCCCTATCTTTAAAGGCAGCATTCTTTGCTGTGGGATACTGTAAATGTTTAAAGCAGACATATGATGCATGTTTAGAAAAACAAGGTCAGGCTGAATCAGTTTTAAACCAAAATGACTTCCTCATATACCACAATATATTAGCTTTCCCTATTGCTTTTCATTTATTCCATCAATGTTCTAGTATTTTGTGGAAGGTAGAATTTGTGAGCAATGAAATTGGATATTTAGCTGAAGCGATGTCTAAACAAGGTGTTGAAGGTGCGGCTTGGGTCCTCCTGACTGCTTATAGTAAAATTCAAGCAGAGAGAAATGGCTTAAAGACGGAATTGTTAAGCAAAAAGGAAGCAGAATTTAAAGATTAGAAAAATTCTCAGCCTCTCCATATTGCAAAAAATGAGAACACCAAGGGCATGGCCACGTGACTGATAAGGAGGTTAGCATGGATCAGCCAGGAACTATTTTCCAAGACAATGGAAGAATAGCCCCAAAGAGGATTCCGAGATCAACAGAGATGCCACTCCCACTACAAGCCCCGACGACAGGGGCCCTGGGAGCAGAGCAGGTCCACGGGCACCTGTGGGACCTTTGTGCTGCTTAGGCACCACCTCACATCTTAGGCTCTGTTCTCTGCTCTCTGGCACCACACTTCTCCACCGCCGCCGATGTGGCTCTGGTGGGCCCAGTGTGGCACAGCCCTCAGTGGCTGCCCCTCCAGAGGGCACAGGCAGCAAACTTCGGTGATGTCCATGTGGCCCCGTCTCCGCCAGCACAGAGTTCAGAGGCCAAGGAGGCATGGCTGTCTCCAGCTAGATTTCAAAGGACGGAGCCACCTGGGAGAGCCACGGGCTAAGGACCCCAGACCCAGAGAGCCACAGAGCCCAGACAGAGTCTCTGTGGTGCCTCCCTGCTGAGCCCTGCAGGTGACTTTGTCACCCCAGTGGACCTAGAAGGCAGAGCATTGAGTCCAAGAAGATGATTCTTGAGCCTTAAGGTTTACTGTTGTTTGCCCTGTTTGGTCTTGGACTTTACCTAGGACCTGTCACTCCTTTCTTCTTTCCTATTTCTCCCTTCCGGAATGGAAATACCTATCCTCTGCCTGTCCCACCATTGTATTTTGGAAGCACATAACTGATTTGACAGGTTCACAGCTGGAGAGGAATTTGCCTCAGGATGAATCTTACCTTGAGTCTTGCCCATCCCTGATTTAGATGATATTTAGATGAGACTTTGGACTTGAGATTTTTGAGTTGATGCTGGAATAAATTAAGACTTTTTGGCTGTTAGGATGGAATTTTTCTTGCATGTGAAAGGATGTGAATTTTCGGAGGCCAGCTGCAGAATGCTGTAGACTGAGTGTTCATGCCCCCCTCAAAATTCATATGTTGAGATTTAATCCCCTGTATGATGGTATTTGGAGATGGGGCCTTTGGAAGGTGATTAGATGATGAAGGTGGAGCCCTTATGAATGGGATTAGAGCCCTTATAAAGGAGACCCCAGGGACCTTCCTTGCCCCTTCTGCCATGTGAGGACACAGTGAGAAGACAGCCATCTGTGAGCCAGGATGCATCCTCTCACGAGACATGGAATCTGCCTGCGCCTTGATCTGGGACTTCCAGAACTGTGACAAATAAATTTCTGTTGTTTAAAAGCCACCCAATCTATGGTATTTTTGTTTTAGCAGCCCAAATGGACTAAGTCTTTGAGTACTTTTTTCCAAAGGGATTTTCGAAGCAATTTCTTATTAATTATCAGGTTCATTCATGCTCCTTGCTTTCTTATATAAGTGTAATACTAATAAAGTCATTTCTGTAGTATCATGTAGTAATAACTAGCTCTATAAATAACCAAGTTACTTATAAATGCTTGTTTCTAGTCCACTTATTGAAGACAGATTTAAATTTTAAGTATGATTTCAACTGCAGTATATCCTGCAGGAAAGCTGTTAGAATATGTAACTGTCAGGGAAGGATGCATTTTAAAACAGTTTTTTCTTAATGGCCAGATTTCCCAGAAATTTTACAAAAAGCTGGTTACCAGACTAATTTACTAGCTGAATTTTCCAACCAACTAGATGTTAAATTAAGCTCAAGTATAGAATAAGTAATGATCTGGGGGAATGGCATCCTGCCTCTGTTGGGACAGCTGGCTACTTTTCAGTCTCTTTTATCCGTGTTCAAGGTTTAATTTAATTTATATTGAAAGATGCAAGCTTGGGAAACCCAAAGGTCTGGATTTAATAAACTAATACCAAATTCAGCTTTTTGGCTAGTGAGAGCTAATATATAAAATTAATCTTTTCTCATAACTTGGTTGAACTTCACAGAATGCATTTTTCCATTTGCCTCTAGGCCTCCTAAACTGTAAATCCCAGAAAAGAGAAAAACAGAATGATACATTCCAAGTGTAGTCAAAGTGAGGCAGCATAGGATGCTACATGGTGACACTTAGCATGGTTAATAATAGCACACGGTAAGCATTCATTCAGTAGTTGCCTAATGAGTAACAATATAGCCAGTGGATATATATTTTTAAATACTTGTTATAGTAGCCAGTAAAAAGTTTAACCATCCTCTCCACTGTTTCATTCTATCAATCATTACTTTATTGAGCATCTGCTAAATTCAGGCACTGAGCTGTTTCTGAAGACAGGGAAATGCAAAGGTGAAACAGACGTAATTACTATTCTCAGGGATTCACAGGCTAATGGATGAGAAGACAGACTTTCAAACAAACAAAATGCACATCTCTGAGGACCACAATGGACGTGTGTTCAATGGTATGTTGGCACATTTGATAGAGGCCATGACACTAGCACCATCTCAGGTGCTGTATAATGTATTTCTGTCCCATTTAATCAGTTTAGCCTGGCTGGTTGTGTGATACGCTCAGGTCACGTCATACACCCAAACTTCTTGGCACTGCTGGAGGTGAGTAAGATGCATTTTACAGTCTTGTCTGCAAGCTGAATGCATGGTAAATACAACTGAAAAGGTCAATTCAGTGAATTTTCATCAAGCAAATCTGCGATTGATTATTACAGTAAACATAGAGCCCAGGAGAGTGGTACATCTAAGATGCTCAGCAAATATTTGTTGAATGAATGAAAAAAGTCCTAACATGTGTATGACACTGTGCTAGGTATTCAAGGAGATAGAAATGAAAAGGTAGTCCTTTATCCCTCAGCAAGGATAAAGCAAATAATTATGTAATTGCAACACAAAGCTAAAGAATTTTTGCATAAAATAAAAATTATTTTGTTTGAAAATGTATATTACTAGATTC